AGACAGACAGACAGACAGACAGACAGACAGACAGACAGACAGACAGACAGACAGAAGGAGGAGGGGGGGGGAGGCAGAGGGGCGACACATATTTATACAGTGCGGGGACGAAGAGTGAAGGAGGGCCAAATTCCTACAATTTGTTCATTTGTACGAAACCAACTTGTAGACCATTAGATTACTCCTGACAAGTAAAGTTCCTTTACTCGGCTATGAAGCTTTCAAAATTCTTGATCGAAGGATAGTACAGAAAAAAGGACAACTGAATCTCAGATTCCTTATGAAAATCTTGTGCATGCTTCAAAGATTCACAATGAACAGAAAATGTTCCACTTGCTGTTGACTCAGTAGCAGTTATTCAAACACAGCAACAAGAATACAAACAAGAACAGATATAATTAAGAGCAAACTCATGAGTTATCTACACCTGAACTTCCTGCTAGGAACCACCAAGACCTATCAGGATTTTCTGGTTTTATTTATTTGAGAAATCAATGAAATAGTGACTTCAACAAAGGAGGAGGAGGAGGAGGAAGAGGAGGAGGAGGAGGAGGAAGGAGGAGGAGAAGGAAGAGGAGGAGAAAGAGGAGGAGGAGAATCTCGACGATGAAATCTTTAGGATCATGGAAACTTCTATACAATTGGCCTCCTTAACTTAAGAAAAAGTTATTACCCATCATTTCTCTGTGACAAAAGGTCATACAGTTCTTGGGCTTGGCTGATGGATTCTTCTTCATTCTGCAGGAAGGGACCATAGAAAAAGAGTCAAACACACCATGGCAGTGAAATGAACTATAAATCTAATGGCACAACAGTTTGATCACAGAGTAAAATTGACAAGACGTTCAGACGAACAAAGCCCAGAATTTTGAAACTAAAAAAAATTGCAGTTTCTTACCCTATGGTATGGATTGCAAGCACTGAAATTTTTTTTCCTCAAAATTCGTATTCTAAATGTAGAAAAAAAAAAAGAAAGAAAGAAAAGGTAAATAAAGCAGGTAAGTTACAGCTGTTTAAAGAATGACCCCCCTGGAAACTCCATATCAGCTCTGTTCTGGGGAGAAGTGAAAAACTGGCTTTGTCATACTAATACTACCATGACATGGATAATTAAGTCCTTTATGCGACTTGGCTCATTCTTGATTTTCAGTTATAAAAATAGCTTGTGAATGACTTATTTGGATTTCTACTTGACTGGTTTCATAGGTATATTCTACAGTTGTAAAATAAGGACAAGTACCATGATTTGTTCTAAGAATGGTTTTATCCTGTTATTTCACTCGACCACTTCATCTCTTACCTCACTCCAGTAAATTTTTGCACACAAGTAAGGGATCTTGTCCAGGGGATTGAAGAACAATTGATTCTTTAAGGCTGGTTTCCCGAGCAACACCTAGAAATACAGAATCAGAACGATCCAGTAAAAATAAAAGGGAAAACGACACAGTCAAACCTGCTCTTACGACCACCTAAGACAAACCACCTGCCCAAACGACCACTTCCCACTTTCCCCCTAGCGTCTTTTCTATCTTAAACTGATTCTGTCCAAGATGTTCATCTGTGTAAGACAACCACTTTTCTCCTCAATAGTGGTATTCTGAAGATGTTTGTCCTTCTCCAGCAAGGATAATCCTGCCTTTACATCACTGGGGTGTGTATGTGAGTGTGTGTTTGTGTGTGTGTGAGTGTGTGTGTGTGTGTGTGTGAGTGTGTGTGTGTGTGTGTGAGTGTGAGTGTGTGTGAG